CTAACGGGTGGATCCAATAAGAATAGTTTGGGCATGTGAGTGTCCTTTCTACTGTCAGCTCAAATCCCCTCTCCCCATCTGTGGATCACTCAGTAGGTCAGGAGGTAGGCATGCCCAGAGACTTGGGTGTCCATCATTTAATAGCAAGTCTCAGTCTGGGGCAATACTGGTCTCATTGCAGACATTCAAATGGAAGATCATCCAGACAGCTGCCTTCTGTGTCTGGCAAGACAGTTGTCCGTCCTGATGAGCATCAACCCTGCCCGCAAGTTCACATTTGGCACCTACAAGCTGGACTCATCTCTGTAATTGCATTTAGACTTTAAACTCATAGGGAAGCCAATGCTGATATGTAATGGAGCAGCAGCCTGTCTTCAGATCCAGCACTATCCACTTCATCTCGGAGACTGCTTCCTTCCAGGGCCTAGAATCATAGGAAAGCAGAGCTGGAAGGGACTTGAAAAGGTCATCTGGTCTAGCCCCCTGTTCAGGGCAGGATCATTCCTGTCTAAACCATTTCATACAATACTGGTTTAACTTGTCATTAAAGCTGTGCAAACAATTGCACAGCTACAGGGCATAGTGCCCCAAAACACTAAAAACATCCTAACTTGCCACAGGTAAAGTAGGGGGATGAGGAAACTATCAATAAACTCATGCACAACATTTTACAAGAGGTATTGAGAATTTAGCTTTCCTGACTGAGCTGAAGTACAGTAGTCCTGCCCCCTGTAAGATGCCTGGCATTAGTGTGAAGGATTTAGCTGCTAAACTACTACTGGTTCTTTCCAAAATACTCTTGGCTTCAGGCCTCAAGAACAGTGCCTGTGAACTGCCTGATGCTGATGGCCAGCTAGAAGGATGCCTGTTGGAATGCTAGCTTGCTGAAATGAAGATTTATAGTCTTGATGGGCTCTTCTCTAGGTTCTTCCCCACCCTTTCACATGCAGGGTAATGCAGTTGCATCATCTTCTCTTTGAAGATATGTTTCGGGAGTTTTTCTTTCAAAATGTTTTATACACTCTCCTATCAAACTCTTTCTAAAAGGACAGTGAGAAACATCAGTGATATTGGGGGGGGTTTCCTAGTTAGAGTTCAGCTTCCAGTTAAGAACTTGCCTGGAACTTGCTAGTATTCAAGAGTCCAAAACATTCAGGATGGAAAATGTGAACTTTAGCAAAAAATCTGAGATGAGTGATCTCTGACTGCATTGCCCAGGAGTGTGAGGTGGGAAAACATTGCACATATCTAAGCTGCTTGGTGAAGCAGGATGTTGTTCCTACATTTCTGTAGGATCTGCCTGTGGAGGAGAACCCAGTCTTAGAAACTGCAGCTCACTCACTAAAATGCAGGGACATGCCTTTTAAATTCTGTGTGCTGAGCCACATGTGGGGATATACCTCAAGGTCTTAGCCAAGCGAGAGGCAGCACAAGAACAGCCTTGCTCCAGGGTGCTCACAAACTAACTGGACAAATGATAGAATTGGGGCTCAGAGATGAAAGGGGTATATCGAGGTTATTTGATAATATTTACTTAGTCCTTCCTCCTGCAGGCTGCTTTATTCCCTCTGCTGGAGGGAGACTTGACTGGGGCAGAACACATCTCTACTCCTACTTGAAAATATCCGAATTGTGATTTTGGAGACAGTCTCTCGTGCTCTCCCTCAAGCAGAACTTCGTTGCTCTGTGGAGAAAGGAATGTCTCCCAAGTGGAAGGCTCTTTGGTTCAGTGTGCGTCAGGAACTTGTCCCTTCTTCCTTCATAGCTGGTCTCTGCTCCCTTTGAAGGGTAGCAGTTACCCTGTTTGTATAAGATGAACGTTGTCAGCACCAATGCTCCATCCCTTTCCTCTGGCAGCAGCCGTAGAAGTGTGAGGTGTGGTGTAATTTGTCACATCACATCCTCTGGTAGTCACTACACTTTGTTCAGGAATGACCTAATATACACTATAGTGCCACACAGATGACATGCAGTAAAGAAACGGGGCCCTCAGAAGGGCAGAAATCTGGAGAAAGACACTTGGTTAAATGTTCACAGAAACTTGGAAAGGGTTGTTGAAGTTATTTGATTTTAATCTGGCCCCAGCTTGTCCTTCCCATGAATGTTTGATTACCTGTTAAGCCAGAGCCTATGGAAGACATGGCTAAAGGCATGTGCTGTTTTTTTGTGCATACCTACAGGTCACCATGCACTTTCTTATGTAAACATATACAAACCAATTAACAGTTTACAGGGAGAAGACAGTGGTGGGACCAGAATGCAGGTTCCTTATGTGGGCAAGCACTCAGCCAGCTGGACTGAAACAGTCCCTACACTAGCTTGGGCCTGTAGATGTTCATTTTCTTATAACCCAGATTATTCATGTATGTCATTGCCACCAAAGCCAAGGGTGTCCATAGCATTCAGGTGGCATCTTGTCTCTTTGTCCAGACAGGAATCAAATGTTCTGGTGACGATGAGGTCTGACTGGGCACTGAGTACCAGACAGCTGTGGGATCTCATTGCTTGTTAGTGGTCTAAGTCAGTTAAGCACTTTTGAAGTCCCACCTGGAGTCTCCTCCCAAACAGTTTTACAAAGTCATTTAATACACAAAAGCAGTGTGAGGCAAGAGCTACAGGGCAGGAGTGGGGGAGAGAGAACCAGTGTCTCTGAGGGGAGGAGGGACGGATGAGGAGTGCTCTGCCTTGTAGTTCCTGTAACACCATACCAGCCCCGGGACAAGAGCACTTTGGGAGGGGGCTTGAAAGCACAGAGGCAAAACAGATGTGGCAGGAAGGGCAATGATTTTCACTCTGTGTTGCTGATGGGAAGAGTCAACATACAGCAGGGAGAACCTGGATAAATAATAGGAAAAGCCTGTGCTAGAAGGACAGCTTAGGCAAGGCTGAAAGTCAACACTTGCTTATGAAGGGTGGGTGATATCCATCCAGCTCTAGTGAAGAGGGGTGGGCTAGAGAACCCACTCACAATCCCCTCAACCCTCAGCATTTCTGTGGTTTCCTAGAATTTAAAGGAGATAGGTGAGGAGCCAAGAAGAAATCCTGGATAGAACATCAGCATCCCATAGGTCTTCAGAGAGAGGGGGAGGTACCAGCATCACTCTCTGCAAATGGTGCATTCCTGACCCATCCCTGGCCACTGGATTCCCTGGCCTGGTCCCAGCCACGCAACTCCCTTCCAGAATCTCGGTTCTTTCTTTTAGACTGTCATTCTGCTAGCTGCTTCCCAGCTCTTCACAAATGTAATGAACTTTCTGTGGAAATGTAGGTCATAGAAACTGGAAAGACAGTCAGGCCCCTGCAACTGGTGCCCGACTAACATGGCTGTGGAATTTATAGCCCTTCTAATGCTCACACTTTATTCCTCTCCAAGTTGTTGTTATTGTGCAGTAAAGTGCGGCTTCTGTGTTGTGTCAGCCAGAGAGCTTGGACACAGAATGAAAGTACTTTCCAGTGCCTTGTTCATTCGCTATTATTCTGAATTTCCTATCTCTGAACTTGGGGAATACTTCAGATCCCTTACTGGGTGTATGAGTTCATGTATTGTGATTGTAGTAAGCAGGGGATTTGTTCTTGCGGGGGGGCTGAGGTGTGTGCGGCTGCCATCCATCCTAGAGGGAGGCATAAAACAGAGCCAGTTGGCTCTGCAATTTGTGCTTTAGTGCTCACTGCTGACCTCAGGAGGGGTGGGGACAGACAGGGCCTTGCTGTGTGACTATGGTCTTAAGACAATACTCATTTCTGCATTGCTCATAAACAAATGTATCTAAAACACCACACTTTATATCCACTTACAATTCTGAATACCTTTCCATTTATCTAAAGCTTGCTGAGGTGAGTTCCTATAAGGGAAGACTTATTTCATTTCCATGAAATGTTTATATTTTCTGGGAAGTTTCTCTCTCACCTCTTTAAATTTTACTGCACTTGGCGTGCAGCCTGCAGCAGAGTCCTCCCAAGGAAGCTGGTGAGGCAGGGAGGTTCAAGAGGGACTATAAATTTCAAACTCTCTGGGTTAGAATAATTTAAGTGCACCAAGATCTTAACCTTAAAGGATCAATACCAAGCTGTTTTTTTCTTTAGTGTTGTAAAATTCAAGCCAAAAAATATAGCAGTTAAAAAAAAAAAAAGAAGAAGTAAATAAAGATTGTATGTGAACCAGGGACTGATGCTATAAAAGATCCTGCCCCGGTTTTCATCAGAGTCTTGGAGCAACTTCTAGTTTGGCTGTCTGGGAGATCAGCCATTGTGCGAAGACCTTCTTTAAAAATATGTCAAGGTCCACAACCTGGTAATCATGCTTTCCAAATGTCCACAGCTCCTCATCTGCATCTAACTTCTCTGTTTAAATCCCAGCAGGGACTTGGCATTTCAACATAGTCCCCCTGAATGAATTAGGTTTGGCAGGTATGAGTGTCCCTTTGGGTTTGGGGGCTTTTGCCATACAGAAACAAACAACTCTTTGAAAATGGAATGGCACTGCAAGTGCAATTTCTGGCTGGCTGGGTGAGGCTGTTCTACCATAGCATCACCCCTGTGCTGCAGCAAGGGCAAACGTTCAGTGCTGTCCTGTTACCTGCTGTAAAAAGGGACATGGGGCAGAAACCTCACGTGTTTGTGTTAGACATTTTGTATTCAACAAGGAACTTGCTGACTTGTTTTGACAAATTCTGCTCCCCAGATACTTGTAAGCTGGACCAGTCCAATATATAGCAGCCTGTGGAACATTCAGGGAGCCCATTTGGTTGTGGGGGAAACAAAAACAGGCAGAAAAGGAGGTTGCATGGCTTTGCACAAAGCAGAAATTAGAAATCACCAGCCTGGTTAAGACTTCAAATGTGCAACATGTGCTGGCAAAATAAGTATCTTAAAGCAAAATTTTTATGCATCATTTCCTGTTTGTTTTGCTTGCCAGGATTTGAGGTTGGGGTTTTCTGTTTTTTCTTGCTTTAACTGATGACATCACAGTCACCTAAAGGAGCATTTCTGTTCTTTTTTAGTGAGAAACAAAAAAAATACTTAATGTGAGATGTGAAGGACCCTGAGGTCAGGACCTGGCAGGCTGTACAGAAGCTGCTTGACAGGTACTGTGTTTGAAAATGAAAATTCATATTTAACTCTTACCATTGTTTCCATTAAAGCTGCAAGCATTGCACTTATCTTCAGCATTTACTAGAAGAAAATGGTGTGTGTGTGTGTGTGTGTGTGTGTGTGTGTGTGTTTACACATGTATGCAGGTATGTATGTATAATTTCATAGTTTCTAGGGTCGGAAGGGACCTGAG